GCCTCGGATTCCATAATGATGGAGTTTACATAAGAGGTAATTTATTTATTTATTTATGCATATACAAGAATGTACATAAGGAATGTGAGGATACAAATATGGTAATTACAGTCTTGTAAAGCCACTAGCACGCGCAGCGTTTGGGGCAGGTCCTTAATCTAAGAAAATTTTAAGGAGGTAAATACTTGCAAAATTTATAGACAAAAAAATGATAAGTTACATGAAATGAAAAAAAAGAAGATGAGAGAAAATTGTAGGTACAGTATATTAAAGCACATAGGTAGCTAAGATTGATTGCAATGACAGCTTGAATGGTAGTTGACAAAAATTGGTAGTCACAATACAGCATATGGCTAGCACATAAAAGAAGACAGCAATGAACACAATGATAAGGTTGTTTGATATTACATAAAAATTAGGAGATTGGGTAACACTAGGTACAGAGCAAATTTAAAGCTCAGTGTAGGAAACTAAGAAGATGAAGTTAGGTACTTTTTGGTTTTGCTTTTAAATAAGGCAAAAGTTTTACAGTTTTTCAATTCACTAGGGAGTGAGTTCCATAGACTAGAGTGTTTACACAGATTAAGTTTGACCCTGGGGATATCAAAGAGATATTTATTTCTGGTGTGGTGATAATGGGTCCTATTACATCTGTCCAGGGAGAGTTTCAGAGCATGGTTTGCATTTAAGAACAGGGTTTTGTAAATGTAGTTGACACAAGAGAATGTGTGGAGGGAGTTAATATTTAGCAAGTTTAGGGATTTAAACACGGGAGCTGAGTGTTGTCTGAAAGCAGAGTTAGTTATTATTCTGATAGCAGATTTTTGCTGTGTGATGATGGGCTTAAGGTGGTTTGCAGTGGTCTACCACTGCAAACCACCTGATTACTGATACTGTTAATTGTGATTAACAGTATCAAAGGCCTTTCTCAGGTCAATGAAGAGTCCAATCGGAAACTCATTTTTGTCAAGGGCTGAGTAAATTATATCAAGGAGACTAATAATTGCATCGTTGGTACTCTTTTGGGAGCGGAAGCCAAACTGATAGGGACTAAGAATGTCGAATTTTACGAAGTAGGAGTAGAGCTGTTTGTAGATAATTTTTTCAAATATTTTTGAAAGTATGGGTAGGTTTGATATTGGTCTATAATTGTTTATGTCTGCCGGATTACCTCCTTTATGAACTGGCGTTACTCTTGCTTTTTTAAGGATATCAGGGAAGGTATGACACTCAAGGGATTTGTTGAACAGCAGAGCTATAGGTGGTGCAAGGGCGTGGGAGGCGCTCTTGTATACAATGGATGGGATTTCACTGATGTTCCCAGCTGTGGTTTTTAGTGAGTGTATGATGGACACAACATCTGTCGGGCTGACTGGTGAAAGAAGAAGAGAGTTTGGATAGCTGCCTGAGAGATATGTGTTGATATGTGTCTGAGTCTGTGGGATTTTACTGGCAAAGTTAGCACCAACCGATGAAAAGAAGCTATTAAATTCATTCGCCATTTCTAAATCAGATGACGGTGTAAGGTCATCCTTAGAGAGTGTTATCTGGTTGTGGGAGTGTTGTTTAGTTCCTAGGATGTTAGAGATGGTTTTCCATGTGCTTTTCATGTTGCCTTTTGCTTCTTTGAATCTAGTCTCATAATATGAAAGTTTAGCTTTTCTTATGATACTGGTAAGCACTGATGAGTACCTTTTAACTACTTCCTTTGTAACTAGGCCAATCCTAAATTTCTTTTCATATTCATGTTTTTGTTAATTGATTTGATTATGCCACTTGTGAGCCACGGATTGTTTTTTCTTTTATCAGTTACTTGTTTGGTAAGGAGGGGACAGTGAGTGTTGTAGAGGCTTAGAGTTTTGGAGAGCAAGAGGTTAGTTGATGAGTTTATATCCTGTGTATTATTAAATTCAGATTCCAGTTAATATTGTGAAGTGCATTAGAAAGATTGCCTAAAGCTGATTCACTGTGTAGCCTGAATGAGAGTTTCTTGCTTTCTGGTGGTGTTGTGTCCATGTTTGCTGTGAGGAAGGTAGGTTAGTGGTTAGTTGTTCTGTCATAGATTACCCCAGATGTAAGGGGAGCTGTTATATTAGTCCATAAGTGATCCAGGGAACTTAAACAATCCTTTGTTTAAGTTCCGTAACATGCTAAACATACACTCACTCCACACATTCTCTTGTGATATCTACATGTACAAAACCTTGTTTCTAAATGCTAATCTTGATTTTAAACTTTTCTTTGATTGGTGAAATGAATCCATGAGCACCACACAAGAAATTATATCTTTCTGATATTCCCAGAATCAGATTAAACATGTGCAAACACTCCACGCAAATGAAAGGGCCCAGTCTTTGGAACTCACGCCCTGATGAATTAAAAAATTGTCCAATCTATGCCCTATTCACAAGTAAATCCAAAAAGTACCTAATTTCATCCTCATAGTTTCCTACCTTGTGCTTCAAACTCATACTGTATCTTGTACTACCCACTTCCCCAATATGCTTTGTAGTTATTAGTTGATATAAAACATTGTTACAATGTGCCTTTTCATATTACTGATATGTTTAATTAAGGACCTGCCCGAAACTCTGTGCGTGTGTGGCTTTGCATGAATGTAAAAATATCAATCGTATGTAATCTCACCAACCCATTGTACCTTCTGGCAGATAAATTATTATTATTACTATTATTATTATTATTATTATTATTATTATTATTATTATTATTATTATTATCTGTGATGGTCTAAACAATTTTCAGGAGCAAGTTACTTTTCTCTTTGTTCTTTACTCCTCCTTCCTCTAATGATTTTGTTGCTTTGTTGTTATGTATCATTTCACTAACTTTCCAGCTCCTAACACTTTATAGACAAAATAATTTATTTCTTCTTCATTTCTATTACCATTTAGACGTTTCGCTTCATTGATACTTGTTTTTAGCTTTTCTCTGTCTTCTTTTGAGATATCTTGTTTTATTGGCCTAAGTTTGCAACCTCATCACTCTGCAATTTCCTGTCATATCTAAGCACTTCCGTCATATGTTTCACTCCATTAAATGTTACACTTAAGGGGAGGTTCTTGTCTTTCTCATATTTTCCTGTTCTCCTAAAATCACTGACATTTTTCCTTGAATGGAGGCATTCTCCTTAACCAACTATTTTTTCTATGATTTTCATTTCTTCTGCTTCTCTGTCCACCCTAGATGATATTTCCTTTTCTAAACACCCGAAATATATTATGGAATTACTTCTATCTGCAGTGTTTTGTACTAATTTTCTGTCGGTAACCAGTTATTTCCTAATTGCTTGCCTAACTACTGCTTCTTGTTGGTCATTTCTGGTTTTGTCTTCCAAACACTCTTCCTTGGTCGTCTCTTTCTCTTTTACAACTTTCGCACAAGTCTCTTTAATTTCCTCTTTGTACTTTTCTAGTTTTTTAATAACCACCTCTATGTAAGTTGTCCATGAAGTTTCTCTTTGCATATCTTTGCCTAACTCTTTGTTGGCTTTTAGGGTTTCTTGGAGTTGTTCACCTTATGAGTCTATTTTCTTGTTAATTTCGTCAAATTCACCACTCTTCACTTTCTATATCTCATTTTCTTTCACTAGTTAATTGATTTGGTCCCCCCCCCCTGTATCTTTATCTTGACCATCAAAGCGGAAATTTTCTTATCTTGCTGAAAAATACTTTCTTTTAAAGTGCAAAACTCACTCCTAAACGTTCCAATTTCTTCTTCTATTTCGAGTACTCTTTCTTCATACTTATTTACCATATCCTCAATTATCTCTGACCTGCCAAGAAAACTTCCTTTTATTATATCGAGTGGTGAGAATCCTTTGAAACAAATATCTATTGGTGTGTTTCCCTTCCCCGTGGCGGCGGCCATCTCTGTTATTGACGATCTTCTGTTATGGAATATAAACTTTTCCAACACAGAATTTTCACTCACTTTCACTTATTTCTTGTATTTTATTTACTTTTTAAACTTCCCGATACTATTATGTAACCTGGGATACCACTTAACAGCCCTCAACCTGGTCCCAATACTTAGGCAATTTGATATTCCCGGAGACTGCTGCAGTGACTCCTGCCTCCTGGTGCTGCTGTGTGTGTACTCACCTAGTTGTACTCACCTAGTTGTGCTTGCGGGGGTTGAGCTCTAGCTCTTTGGTCCCGCCTCTCAACCGTCAATCAACTGGTGTACAGATTCCTGAGAATCTGTGTGAGATTTGTGTGTGTGTGTGTCGGTGGGGTCTGAGTAGATGAAGGTAGTATCGTCAGCAAGTAGTATTGGTTTAAGAATTTTAGAGACATTTAGAGACATTGATGTATATAAGAAATAGGAGAGGTCCTAGGATGCTGCCCAGTGGCACTTCTACCTTTCACGTTGTGAAGAATCGAGTATGGACAAAATATTGCCAGCAGAAAATTTATGTTAATTTTCTCAAGATTAATGAATAATGTTGCAAATTACTATAAGGACACAAATTTGTGGAAAAGTTTATTAAGAAAATATTTACCTGTGTAGCTGGCGGGCAATGTCAAAAATCGTCATAGGGGTCTGAATATGACCCAGGTACACTCTTCCTTTTTGACTCTGATGACCCCGATAAGCCTGTGAACATCCCGTACCGCAGACCATTCCCCCCTTCCAATATTGGTGAGGTTAGGCCCAACCGTGTGGCCTCCAACTTTGAACAGACAAACAAGCTTTCTCTAGTATAGTATAGGGCCAACCACTTGGCCTGGACGGTAAAGCGACGGTCTCGCTTCATGCAGGTCGGCGTTCAATCCTCGACCGTTCAAGTGGTTGGGCACCATTCCTTCCTCCCCCCCCCTTCCCATCCTAAATACGTATCCTAATCCCTTCCAAGGGCTATATAGCTGTAATGGCTTGGCGCTTTCTCCTGATAATTCCCTCCCTCGTATAATATAGATATGTATATATTTATAATGTTAATTGCTTACATGCTATAATATGAGTGACGATATTCACAGGTGTTCATTCACTTGACAGTGACGGCCGATTGAGGAAGACGGAGGTGGTGATCCATGTTATCCCTGTCACTCTGAATAGTGCCGGCGACCTAACTATACACTCCCCCACTGCTGCACGAGCCTCACGCAAGCTTCTGGTGCGCTGATGTAGGAGTCTAATGTCTATGTCTAATATGCTGCTGCAGAACTCTGGCCTACTGTCTGTCTGCTGCTGCTGCTGCTGCTGCGGTGGGAGTCTCTCTTTGTTGTATACTGTTGCTGCTGATAGTCTGAGGCGAGAATGATTTATGAAAGTTAGTCATTAAAGTCCTGAGTGAGATATCTTGCCACATTACGTTTAGATGGAACTATGACGCCACGGTGAAGGTTTTATGCTTATGTGACAACGTTGCTGAAGGTTCAACGCCATCGTCATGGTTGCTTATACTTAGTAAAAATAACTGATTAAAATAAACTTTAACTAAAGACAAAAAGTTCCATTTCAAGGTAGAAATATTACTCTGCTAGGGGCTGTACTCACCTATTTGTACTCACCTATTTGTGCTTGCGTGGGATGAGCTCTGGCTCTTTGGTCCCTCCCCTCAACTGTCAATCAACTGGTGGAGATTGTGGTTGGAGACCCCTAGTGGGAGCTGTGTTGGAGACCCCTAGTGGGGGCTGTGTTGGAGACCCCTAGTGGGGGCTGTGTTGGAGACCCCTAGTGGGGGCTGTGTTGGAGACCCCTAGTGGGGGCTGTGTTGGAGACCCCTAGTGGGGGCTGTGTTGGAGACCCCTAGTGGGGGCTGTGTTGGAGACCCCTAGTGGGGGCTGTGTTGGAGACCCCTAGTGGGAGCTGTGTTGGAGACCCCTAGTGGGGGCTGTGTTGGAGACCCCTAGTGGGAGCTGTGTTGGAGACCCCTAGTGGGGGCTGTGTTGGAGACCCCTAGTGGGGGCTGTGTTGGAGACCCCTAGTGGGGGCTGTGTTGGAGACCCCTAGTGGGGGCTGTGTTGGAGACCCCTAGTGGGGGCTGTGTTGGAGACCCCTAGTGGGGGCTGTGTTGGAGACCCCTAGTGGGGGCTGTGTTGGAGACCCCTAGTGGGGGCTGTGTTGGAGACCCCTAGTGGGGGCTGTGTTGGAGACCCCTAGTGGGGGCTGTGTTGGAGACCCCTAGTGGGGGCTGTGTTGGAGACCCCTAGTGGGGGCTGTGTTGGAGACCCCCTAGTGGGGGCTGTGTTGGAGACCCCTAGTGGGAGCTGTGTTGGAGACCCCTAGTGGGGGCTGTGTTGGAGACCCCTAGTGGGAGCTGTGTTGGTGACCCCTAGTGGGAGCTGTGTTGGAGACCCCCTAGTGGGGGCTGTGTTGGAGACCCCCTAGTGGGAGCTGTGTTGGTGACCCCTAGTGGGAGCTGTGTTGGAGACCCCTAGTGGGGGCTGTGTTGGAGACCCCCTAGTGGGGGCTGTGTTGGAGACCCCTAGTGGGGGCTGTGTTGGAGACCCCCTAGTGGGGGCTGTGTTGGAGACCCCTAGTGGGGGCTGTGTTGGAGACCCCTAGTGGGAGCTGTGTTGGAGACCCCCTAGTGGGGGCTGTGTTGGAGTCGACGTAGAGGACAAGCTGTGACCCAGACCCATCATGTGGGGCACCAAGAAGGCAGCAGCGGACCGCCTCAACCTGGGCACCAAGGATGAACTGGTGAGTCTCTATAACAACATTTCCTTTATTTATTATTCGTAACATTTTTTAAGCATGTACTTTATGTTATTTACCAATTAAATTTAACTTATTTTTGTATACCAATTCTACACACCACTAAGAAATATATAGCGCTATTGTCTAAAATATACGAGGGACATTTTAAGTTAGATCAAAATATAAATTAATGCAATGACAGCCATAAAACAGGAGATAGAACGGCGACCAGACTGTATTCTCCTTAATTGTCCGTGGCAATAAATGACTTATACGAACTAGAGAATAAAGCTGGTGCGTCCTTAGACGGGCGAAGGTGTACTGGCCGGTCAGGAACCAGAGGATCATGGTGAGAGATAAAAACAAAAGTGGCGAGCGAGCCCATCCAGGTTCTAATATGACTATATCCTAATATAAGAAAAAAGATTATTCATACCCAGCCTCAAAGTTAATATCTAGTGATAATAATTAGAAAAAGGAAGACTGCTTAAATGCTAAGTTATGAGGATATGAGTGTGTAGCACTTCTCAGATCAGAATGTGACAAAGATCTACATAGGTGTAGATATAATTGCAAATCTGATGCCAAAGGCAAGTGTTTATACAATATTTTCTGTAAGATATTGAAGCTGACACTTGTCTATATATCGTGCAAAATTATTGACATGGAAAACTTTGCGACATTTTATACAACATACGAAGACCCTATCATCATACATGCAGCTCTGGCCTTGAACTTTCCCCTGAAAATGCACGAAATTAAACTAGAAAAATCCATATATGTGACAAGTCAGCTTCCAGAATTAAGGCACTGAACTAGAGCAAAGTCTGAATAAACTGATCTACACTAAATCAGAGAAAATAAGGAACATGTGAGACAGGATAACGTACAAAATACTAAATGGAACGAAGAAGTAGTAATAGTTGCTCGTAATGAGAAACTGGAAGAAGTAAATGTCACCAATGGGTTAGGAAAAATTGTTGATGCAAATAATGAAGTAGTTTAAAATTATAAGTCATTTTGCTGGGGACAGACAGTCAGTTTACACATACAGTACATGTTAGCCTAATATTGAGGTCACTCCCCCCAGGGTTGAACTACTGACCCTCCCCTAGATGCAACCCCACAAGCTGACTGGACAGAGGCTTTCCTTATCACCTATAGCCTCTGTAGATGGACAGAGGCTTTAGGTGATAAGGAAACGCGCGCAAACATTTCTCCTGCCTAGGATTCGAACCCGGAATTCTCGGAATTATGTCGAAAAATAATATATAAAATGAAACTGTGAGTCATTGCAGGCTAACACTTGATCCTGCAAGCATATTAATGTCCAGGGACACCGCTTAGCACAATAACACATTATGCAAATAAAGGGACCTAGTATATGGAACTCACTCTCTAACGAGTTGAAAAACTGTCCAACCTACGCCTTATTCAAAAGTAAAATAAAAAAGTACCTAATTTCTTCCTCATAGTTTCCTATCTAGTGCTTAAAACTCGCACTGTATCTTGTGCTACCCAATCCCTTAGTATATATATATGCCTAAGCCATACAACTTCACCATTGTAATCATCTTATATCAAGGTTGTTATATTGAACGCATATTTTACTACAATATACCTAGAAATAATGCTCAAATTATGCTACAATATAGCTGTTGATAATCCTCAAATTTAATTATAATATACCTTCTAATCTTCTTCAAACTTTCTTACAATGTATCTGTAACACTAGTAACAGGTAACAGGTTACATTGTAAGACATTTTAACACTGACATTGACATTTTAACACTGTCGAACTTTCTTACAATGTAACATTTTTCATTTTTGATAGAAATGACATACTTAAAATTATCTGTTCGATTAAGGACCTGCCGAAACGCTATGTATGTTAGTGGCTTTACAAAAAAGTAAAAACATCAGTACCAATGTACCTTCTTGTATGTATGTAAATAAATAAATAAATAAATAAATAAATAAATAATACGCCTAACACAGTAACACGAACTTAGCAGTCTCATGTTGCATCATTCCCAGCTTCAAGTCATTTTCCCACCTTCATATATATACTTGACGACCCAAAGAACATGTGTTTGTTACCAGAATGTTGTCAGTATCAGATCTTTTGAGAAATTAAAGTTTTCAGTTCCAAAAGAGGGGGAAAGCTAATTCCCACGAAAGCGTTCGCAACGCCGCTGCAAGGAGGACGTTTTTGGTGCCTAAGAGAGGCAGATGTGAAGATGCCGAGAGCAGGATGAGAAGAGGGAAGATGATTGGTTGCAAATACTTGAAGTAACGAATCAAGAGGTAGCCCAGAGTGACTTCACAGTGACAGCTAGCTTTATGGCCTCCCATTAGGGCTGAAGATGACATTGTACCCCGAAATCTGGTGGAGGGTGTACGTTGAGATTCTGCTCCAGGATTTTATTAGAAATCGTCGATTGTGAGTAAAGCCAAAGTTCTGCAGAGTTCTGCGGACCTTGTATCGTCACAAGGAGCAGCCTAGTTAACCTAGGGAGGTTATTTCGACATTTTTATCTTGAGAAGTTGATCTTGAGAAGAGCAGCAGTGAGAAAACTGTTGGTCTGGGGCAGAGGAGTGACGTCAAACGCCCACCTCAGCAGACTCCATCGTGCAGAAGGGCTTCAGCTTACTACGAGTGTACCACATTTCTCGAAGACAAACCCTGCCCAGAAGGTCGGGTAACACTGAGATAAGGAGTGCAGTGAAGTCGTTGCTTGCAAGAGCAACCCTGACTTTGATTACCCAGTGAAAGACAGTGAGGCAGGTAGTAGAGCAGTGTAGAAGTCTGCTACACTTAGGAGACACTCGTGTAAGCAGTGAAAGACTAAGATTTATTTTGTAGCAAGTATATTATGTCAGTAATATACTTGCTTCGTAATCTCATTAGCTTATGGGTAGATAATGAGATGGGTCTGTTAGTCTACTTGGTTCACAATTACAATTAATACCTCATCCCAAGTGTACAGTTAATACCCCTTCCCAAACCTGCAAGAGGATGGTCAGGTGAGGTGTGGACTGGTAATATAACCAGTCGACAGCGAATCATCATCCACCAGAGAGTAGCAGAAAGTTCGCCCTCTGCAATATGGTATCTTCAGGCAACCAAGTAAGAAAGGTTAAATATCCCAAAAGGAATCCACAGGGAAATAGTAGTTCGGTTATATAGACTACGTCTAGGTTACAGATGCAACTGGGAGATTGGTGAACCCCGACAGAGAGAGTGCATCTTCTGCCAAACAATCACACAAAAGCCCCAACTTCATTATCTCCAGGAATGTGAAGCAACCAACGACCTTAGAAGAGCTTTAAGAGTCCCTGAATCTTGCAGTAACCAGCCTGAAGCCATCAACACAGCCACTCTTCTGGTCAAAAGAGATGTCCAGCAGCTGGACACCCTCATAAACACTGTCAAGCAGTATCTTTCCCCCGTGATAGCAGCCTGACGATTAAATGCGACTTCAGCACACTGTATAGATTTACTGAACAATTTTTTCTACCACTTACGGGCTATTCATGCCCGTGCTACTTTTTGGGTGGCTTAATCTTCCTCAATCAATCAATCAATCATCATCCACATAGAGACCCAGAGACACTTCAAGATGTTACCGACCAAAGGTCACATTCATTCCAAAAATCAACCACTTACGAGCTACTCATGCCCGAGCCACCTCTTGTGGTGGCTTAATCTTCAACAACAATTAATCATCAATAATCTAACTCCAAGAGTGGTTCAGTACAGACGCTTGCAAATCTACATCCTGCTACTCTGCCGACTCAAGCACTTCATTTGCGCAGTACACGACTTACAGCTTGCGTTTCCGACACTTCGTCGCCGCCAGGACAATTCAGATCTAAAAGTGATTCCCTCGTTGTCCTGACTACCTGCCTATATTCTCTCGTATGGTCCTGGTGCCCGAACCCATCCGCCCCAGATCTACATGCTCCACCAGTGAATCAGGTCGCAATAACCGAGCACATTCTTCTCTCCTGCTACATCGAGCACGTTCGCACGCTGCCTGCATCTTTTGGTACTAGATTACATGTTTCACAGCGACCCCAGGGAACAATAGCCTCATATTTATTTTTTTATTTATTTTCTTTCATCCTCTGGGAGGGAGAGTTATGTAACAAGTATTATTATAAAATGTCAGTAATATACTTGCTCCATATTCTCATTAGTTTATGTGCAAATAATGAGATGGGTCTGTTAGTTCTACTTGGTCCACTACTTACAATTAATACTTCTTCTCAGGTGTACATTTCAAACATACAATCTAGCAAGCCCTCCAGATGGAGTGGGTCAACATCCGGCCCCAGGGAAAGTACTCACACAATTTAACCTGCTTTAGGGTATGAGTAACTGTGTCCACACTGTACACAATGAATAACTAGATTGTAAACTTTATGATTTATTAATCACAAAACTCTTGCCCATGACAGCACCCCTGGCACTGCCAGTTGATATTTACTTTATGCTCAGAATTCCCCTGGGACAGGGATAAAGGCTCACACACTAAACACTATAGGCAGGCCCAGAAACCTCTGTAGGAGGAACAATTGTAATATCCCAGAACTTTGAAACACAAATGAAAATCCTCTCTAAACTCACTCCCACAAACCCAATAACAGAGGAGCAAGAGTTGAGTTGCACACAGTAATAATAGCTATTAAAGTAGATCGGTGGCCAATACTTAAAAGAATATACCTGTATTTACCAGAAGGCCACTAACACTCTAGTGACCTCGATGAGGACAGGAAGCCGGTGACTTGTCCAGGGTTCCCTCCACCCTCCACTTGTCCTGATGATTTTTTTTCAAGCTAGCTTTTAAGTTCAGCGAGTTTTGGCAGTTACGGCTTCGGCGGGTAGGCTGTTCCATGGGTTTATAACCCTGTAGGCGAAAAAGCATCTCGTGTTTTCAGTCCTACACTGTGGCTTGTAGAGCATGAAATCGTTACCCCTTGTCAGCGTTACATCTGA